AGCAACTGGTTTTGTTTAGAAGCTTTTGAAAAGTAATTGTAGAAAGAGGACCAGAATGACCTTAATTTCGGACAGGAAAAAAACGTGTGTATGTAAAGTTGATCAAAATTCACCAGCCCTTTCTCTTTCCAAAGAGTGTAAGTTGAGTCAAGTGCCGCAGGTGGAAATAGGTGGTTTTCACAGAAGGGCATTAGTGGGGAGAGAGAGGTGAAATGTCGTTTAAACTGTTTCAGGATTTTTATAGTAGTCAAGACAATTGGGTTGGAGGTGACTTTAGTAGGGTGTGCATTTAGAGGGGCACATATTTCTAACACTTTTTTTAACACTAGTTTTGCTGTCATTTTCCTTTTTCTGCCATTCACATGAAAATAATGTATTCATTTGTGAATTGTGAAATGCTGTTTTAAACACTAAATTGTCTTCAAAAGATTGAGTTGCTGATTGTGTTCTTTCCTTAGCCCTCAGAGGAAGATTCTTCTCAGCAATCAGCGTTCACAGAGCTCAGACACACACCCACTCAGAAAGAGAGCACTGGCGACATAGACTACTTTGAGAAGTTTACCCTGCTTGATGTGGTGGTTCCTGAAGAACAAGCTCCAGAGCCGCAGGAAGAGGCTGAACAGCCTGCAGCGACGCCCCAAGTAGAGGAGCAAAAGCTTGCTAAGGAGACAGCCTCAGAGAGCCCTTCTGCATCAGAAGACTCCTTTGTCTTTGTTACAGATGTGGAGATAGTTGGGGAACACCTGGATGAGGTCTTCTATGGAGAAGGAGCTGCTGCTGATGCACTGCAGCGGAGAGAAGATGATGAGGCGGAAGGTGGAGCAAGGATGAGAATGAGACGAGAGAGCCAGAGATCTGTGAAGGAGAATGGTTCCGTGTTGTTTGGGAGTCAAGAGACTATCCTCACACCCATTTTTATCTCCCCAGGACCCCCTAAAATAATTGACCCCATCCTACTGGAAGAACCCACCGCCATGTCCTTTATGTACTCAGACCTTTATGAGGATGCTATAGGTGAGAGGAGGAAGAGCGATGAGGAATACTCTGAGGCAGAAAGCGTGGCATCTGAGAAGTCTTATAAAAGACGTTTATCAGATTCAGAGGAGGCGGATGGGTACCTGGAGAAGTTTACTTTAAAGGATGAAATTCCCACAGTGGAGGTTCAACCTGAGACAGTGGAGGATAGGAGAGTGGGGAGGATGATGTGGTCACAGAGTCAGTTTGAAATGACAGGATGTCTAACAAGAGTGGTCAAAGAAGAAGAAGAAGATGAGGGCAAGAAGAAGATAGAGGAACCAAAGACACAGGATGTCAGTGAGAGGAGTGAAGATTTAAAATCACTAACATTGGAAGACAAAAAAGAAATAGTTACAGAAACAGAAAAGGAGAGGGAGGAAATACAACTCTCCATGGTGACTGAAGAGCAGACTGTCAGGGAAGCTTTGGAAGAATCAATTCAGGAGTCTAAACTGAGAGAGGAGGAGGAGATGATGGGGGATCAGGAAATGAAACAGGAAGTAAAGACAGACCAAACTGAGCCTCCTGAGAAAAGCACTGATGAACTACTGCCTAGAACCCAACAGGTGGACAGTACAGTAGAGAAAACAGGGGAGAGTAAGGAGAATCAGAGAGAGGTGCCAGCAGAAACAGCTAGCATTATTGAAACTGAGCAGCCACGTCCAACACAAGAAGTGGTAGAAGAAACCACTCAGGTGGTTGTAAATGCTACAGACGAGGCAGCTGTGATAACACCTGTAAGCAGTGAGCGGCCACACATCACCACTAAATCTGAAATACCAACAGAAACCGCTGAGCAGAGTTTGTCTGAGGAGGTGGCTAATGACATTAAGATGGTGGCCACTGATGAGACAGTAGTAACTGAGGTCATAGCAGAGGTCCCAGCTGAAGTGAAAGAACCCGAGACTGAAAGACAGGAAATTCTCACCTCTACTGAAATAGAGACATCAGCTGAAACAACACTGTGTGAGGAAAAAGGAGCAGCAGATGTGGTTTCTGAAAGTGTTGCACCTGTTGAGGTTATCACTGACTGCGATTCTGCAGTACATGCAGTAGTGGAGGTAATAGAAAAAGCAGTGGATGAAAAAGAGATCAAAACTCAAGTTCAGATTGATCTTCAGGAGGTAACAAGTGTTAAGACAACAGATGTTCCAACAGCAGCTCCTGGAGGAGAAGAAGAACATGAAGATCTAACAGAGAAAACTACAGTTGAGAGCGAGGTGCCTCAATTTATTACTAAAGCTGGTCAGGAGTCAGAGGTTAAAACTAAGATTCTAAGTGAGGTAACTGAACCTGTGATACCAGAAGAAGTCAAGACTGATGATTCAGACAAGAAACAGCATGGAATTCAAGAGTCCAAGCAGCATCAACAAGGGAAATCAGTAACTGACAGTGAATCAGACAATACAAATCTGATAACTGAAGCCAAAGATAAAACCCCCACAGAGGACACTGTGACTGATGTTCAGGACAAGGTGAATGTGGGTGATGAATTAATCCTCCTTGTACCCAAAGGACAAGCTGTAGAGATGGACATAGAGCTAAGTCAGCAGCCAGAGAAGACTAAAAGTAATACAGTAGTTCTCTCTGAACCTGACAGCACATGTGAACATCTCATAAAACCTGAAACCACAACAATATGCCCTGAGACTCTTCAGGCACCAAATGAAGAAACAATGACAGAGCCTCAACTTGAATTAAAACCAGAAGTTATTCTGAAGGAAGAAGCACTACCTATAAACCAAGTAGACAAGAGGGATTCTCCTCTAGCACCTGTAGAGGAGGCCAGCACAGAGGAGCAGAAGACTGAGTGGGGCTTTAAAGAAGAAACAATAACAGAGCCTCAACTTGAATTAAAACCAGAAGTTGTTCTGAAGGAAGAAGCACTACCTATAAACGACTTAGACAGGAGGGATTCTCCTCTAGCTCCTGTAGAGGAGGCCAGCACAGAGGAGCAGAAGACTGAGTGTGGCTTTAAAGTAGAAACAATAACAGAGCCTCAACTTGAATTAAAACCAGAAGTTGTTCTGAAGGAGGAAGCACTACCTATAAACGAGTTAGACAGGAGGGATTCTCCTCTAGCACCTGTAAAGGAGGCCAGCACAGAGGAGCAGAAGACTGAGTGGGACTTGGAAGAAAACAAGGACGTCCTTTCCACTCTGAGGAGCTTTACCCCTCAGGAGGATTTGTCCGGGCTACACAGAGAGGATACACAGTCAGAAGAAGCAGATGTAGAACAAAAGGCAGAGAGGCAGGAGGTGAAAGATGCCCCAAAAGCAAACATTGTTAAAGAGGATTCAAGTCTAGAGACTGATCTGCACACAGAGGATGTAGGGCAAAAGATGGAGCATGATGAAGCAGGTGCAGAGGCTCCAGAGGTGACTGTTGACGAGCTTGAATATGAGGTGATATCTAAACAGGATGCAAAAGAGATGCTGGAACCTGAAACACAGAGAGATGCAGCAGAACCAAAACCCTCTGAGTCTGGTCAGGAGAGAGAAGAGAGGGTGGAAGTGGAGGTGGAGGTGGAGATGGAGATGGAGGAGAAGGAGGAGAAAGTCTTGGATCTGTCCCCAGAAGAAGAGCTCATTGAGGCTGACTATGAAATCATTGATGCAGAGGAGGAGAGTCAGGCCCGACTGGCAGCTGAGCTGCAGGGGATGGACTGGTTTTGTCTCACTTGTGGATGTCTGCTGTCAGTGGACGACTATGGGTCAGGACTGCATCACAGCCATGAGGTGACTGCTGTGGACAAAGCATACGAGGAAATCAAGGTAATGCACTGTTAATGTGAATGTGAATATGTTTTCTATATATACATAAATGTTTCTTTTAGAGTTTACAAAGAGAGTCGTCTGAGCTTCTCAATCCCAATTTTGTGTCTGGGGTCCTGGAGAAACATGATTTGATGATGAGTTTCAGAAGCTCACTACAGACAGTTACTTATAACTTATGTTTGTGGTTTCAGAGACACCAGCTCTTAAACATACTATATATTTGCACCTATATCTAAATCTCTATATCTGTGATTCGTGTTGACAAGACTTCTGTTATTGGAGTTTTCATTGTTCAGCAGAGCTCTAACAAGGAGATAGACCTCTCTGTCTAACCCCAAACATAATTCATATCACTATGTAGGAGATGTACTGTACATTTATTTGTGTGACTTTAGAGCAAACAAAAGGAATATACGCTCAGTTGACAGTTTATTAGGTACACCCAGCTAAAACTAAGGCAGTCTAATAGCACAGTCCTGCAAATAAGCATATTTCCCAAAATGTTGAATCACACCTTTTCAGATAACATGTTTTTTTCTTTTTGTTCTGTCTGTGGCCTCAGAGACTTTATCACTTTAACAGGCTGCTGCTGAAGTGATGCAACAGCAGTTCTCATGTCTTTTGGCATGGTTTAATCAAATAGCAGCTCATCATCATACACTTTACCAACATTATTACACAACGCGGTTCTGATCGTCACACACTTTACTGGCATTAGTCTGGGTCATCATATAAAAAAAGTGGTCCTAAATTAGTCAGCTATAACTTTTCCATTCATGCTGGCAGATTGCATGCTCTCTGGCCGCTGGCAAGCTGCGGGCAAGCGCATTGAATTGTTGTGATGTAATGCTCTGCTTTGATCGGTGGAAAGGTCCAGTGTGACATCATCAAGTGGAGACTGATATGTGATCTGTTCACACACAGTGTTCTCCCTCGCTGTCCCTATGGGTCAGCACAGGGTCAGCCATCTGCTTTTTTAAAATCTGTATTAATTTTATAGCACCTTCTAACAATCTGAAAAAAAACAAAACATTTTGTTGTCTTTTACCTGCAGTTTCACAAAGCTATCTGTTCATTTATTAACCCACGAGGCAAACGTGCCTTAGAGAAAGACACTTTATTCATCAGGAGAGACAATATTCGGTTGTTTTTCTGTAATCTGTGAGGGTACATTCAACAACATGAATGTCGGGACTTATTTTGCCATGCATTTGATAAACAAAGTATCTGGCATCTAAATCAAAGGAAAGCTGGAACAAACTGAGATTGATCAAATTTCATTTCCAGATGATATTTCAACCAGGTCTTTTGCATGTGTGAGTTGTATTTATATGAAACATTGACAGCTGGACTGTAAATAAGACAAAGATCAAAGCTATAATGCAAGTCTGACTTCAGCACCAAGAAGTGCAGTCTATTCAGTTACTCCACAAGGGGAAAATCGATCCTAACAAGTTGACCAAAACAACTTAGCAAAACTGTATCCAGTCCAGTTCTCTTAGCTAGAATGTACAATGCACTTCTGACTTTTAGTGGAGAGGAGGTCAGCCTCAGAAGGAACAGGGACCGATAAGAAACCACAGCTTGATAAATGTGAGCTGTCAGAGTTTGGGTGGTGGTCAGTCTAAATAATAACAACAGAAATGAGCATCCATGTCCTGTGAAATGGGATCAGATTCCTTAAATAACCTTTAATTGAATCTTCAGAGTAGGGAGAAAGAAAGAGAGTTAGAAAGTTTGATTCACTGACATGAATTAGTGTGCTGTACGTCTCTGTTCCAGTAAAGAAGAAGAAAGTGAAGGGAGGGTTCAGTTTACTGAAATTCAGCAGTGATTGCAACAGGGCAGAAAACACTGCTGCATTGTTTCTGATAAATAAAACTGCTCTTTCAGATCAGTCTATTTTGGTGAATAGAAAAACACTCTTATTAGTCTCTAGGGATCTCTTCATGGCCAGTGTAGAATAATTATAACAACTAAGAGCTCTTTGAATATACATAGGTACACAGAGATACAGTAAACTTAATAGAGAAAATCTGAACCTTTTAATCCAAGCTGCATCTTGCTCTTAGAGGCTCTGGGTTATAAACATGATATTTTATCTGCAAGCGTTTTTTGTTTTATTATCAGGAGAAGCTGAGTGACTGGATCTCAGAGCTTCAGGGGAGGTCAGAGAACATCGAGGACCTGGTGTCTGAGCTTGAACTGGCCTACAACTCTGTAGAGGTAAAACAAACTGACTTTGTGCCTTCACATTTAATACTAAATAGGACTATACCTCTTTTTAATACTTGCCATTAGGTCAGTATAACGTTGTTAATAAATTACACGATACACATCATAATATTTTATTTCACTGGTAATATAATGTCTCCGTCTTGCATTCCTCTCCTCTCTACCAGGACCAGTGTGTGGAGACTGAGGCGGCGATGCAGGCACAGAATGAGGAGATGATGGCTCTGGTGATGGAGCAGTACAATAACATGTCTGTCAGCATGGAGGAGGAGAAGAAGGCCAAGCTGGAGCAGCTTTATGACCAGATTGTCTCCTTCCAGGAGAGCATCGACTCCGCCAAGGCCACTCTGGAGACCACGGCCAGAGAGGCTGAGACTGATGCACGGGTGAGTCCTGAGGCTCTTGAGGCTTATTGATCAGTGGTATTATATTATATATATATTTTCTGATAATACTTCTTTAATCTGCTCTCCCACTAGTCACCTGAAGACATTCATGCAAGGTAATGTGCATTCAGTGAATTGAGTGTGAGCTAGTGTGCTTTTCTAACCAGTTTATACTAAAATGGTACTAGATTGTGATTACCAATGCAGTTTGCTGCTTGACCTGCAGAGCTGTAGTAGAACTGCAGTGTGCCAATATGCTGAATATTCAACTGTAGGGGTAGATTCAAGCTCAGTATATATAAAAGAAGGCTTTTGATGCTGACCTGAAGTTGTAGCCAAAGGCTAAATGCTGTGGTTGTGTGGACAGACTCAAGGCAGCTCTGGACACAGCCATGTCATTGGAGCTGGGTCCCAAGGGACTGCTGGTGTTCGAGGATTATGCCAAGGGCAACACTTCCAGCTCTCATGCCGCACAGCGCAAGGGAATCCCAGGTAGGTCTGATGTAGACATATCTTTGCAGACACACCTGAGAGTTGTAAGAAGTCTCATATCATGTGCATGTATGTGGCAGTTATGGATTGTGTATGTCTCCTGTGCCACAGTGCCTCAGAGGCCTACACTGCAGTCTCAGGAGCCAGGTTCAGCCACCAGCACCAGTGTCACTGTTTACTGGAAAGTCAACCCTGGAGATATAATAGACTGCTTCCAGGTCTACTGCATGGAGGATCCACAAGGAGGTAAACACTTTCAAGATGGTCTTTAAAAGTCCAGTGTGTAACATTTAGGAGGAACTAGTGGCAGTAATGGAATATCATATTCGTTGGTATGTTTTAAGTGTAAATTGAGCTGAAAATAAGATAAAATTGTTGCATATTCGTTAGCTTAGAATCCCACACACAGGTCCTCAAGGGGCTCCTATTACTATCTATCTATCTGCTATATACTATCTACTACCTTACTATCATATACTTCAGGTAACTTGATGTCCTGCTTTGGCAGCAATTAGAGTTAATAGATCCTTCTAATTGAAAATATTTTATGGTAAATTATCTTTAGTATTTATAATAGATGTTGTTGATATGAACTTTAAAATCCTGTCAGCAAGTTTTCTGGCACAACTGTGATTAAATATTGATGATTGCGTGTGTTCCTGCTTATGTCCACAGCTGTGTCAGAGGAGTACCGTGTAACAGTAAAGGAGAGTTACTGTGCTCTGGAGGAGCTGGAGCCAGATAAGACCTACAAAGTTTGGGTGATGGCTGTCAACTACACAGGCTGCTCTCTGCCCAGCGAAAGACTGGCCTTCAGAACGGGTCAGTCCACATACTGGAGATAAAGTTACAGAGTTTAGATTTGTTCACTGCTATAGTGCAGACTGCCCTTCAAAGCCAAAAGCAAATTTCACACTATCATTGATCGCTTGTTCTTTTTCTGGCAGCTCCATCAGTGCCAGTGATTGATACAGAACTCTGTACTGTCATGTGGGATTCAGCCACGCTGCGGTGGAACACAACAAAACAGACTCCCGAACAGAGTTACACCTTGGAGTACTGCCGACAGTATGAACTGGAGGGAGAGGGGCTCAGGTGTGTGTTATTTAAGCCAGATCAGTACCCAGACAGACAGATAAATGAATCTAACTCTGTAATTTCTGACCATATTAGGAAAGCCAATTTGGTTTAAAACCAACTAATAGTAAACTGCACATACGTCTGACGTATAAATGTAAAGTCTCACATGTTGCCCAAACCAGTCAAATATTTTATACACTGACACATGTGTGACATACTTCTAGGTCCATCTCAGGTATCAAAAGCTGTGAACAGAAGGTTCTCCTGCAGCCCAGTGAGAATTATCTGTTTTACATCAAAGCTGTGAATGAGGCTGGGGCCAGCGAACAGAGCGAGGCTGCACTCATTTCAACCAAAGGTAACAAACCCACACTTACACTCTCTCTGTACTATTTGTGTGTAATATTACACAAATACATTTTTATATTCTTTTCTCTGGCTTGTTACTGTTTTCAGGGACAAGGTTCCACCTGCTGAAAACCTCAGCTCACCCAGTTCTGGAGCTGTCAATGGACCAGACCACGTTGCACTACTCTGAAGACTCACCTGCAAACACACTATCTACAAACAAACAGTGAGTTTCAGTCAGCTCCTACCACTTTTTGGATCCCTTTTAATGAATATGTTTAAACTGAGTTTGTGTGTTTTCTAGGTGTCCATCCATCCTGGGTGAGTTGTTGCCAGCACATGGACATTACTACTGGGAGACCATTGTGTCAAGAAGTGCAGCTTACAGGCTTGGAGTGGCATACAACACAGCCAATAGAAACAGTTCTCTGGGGGAAAACAACCTTTCATGGTGTTTGCAGTGTATCCCTACACCATCAGGGTATGCACTTTCAAGCATTTCAATCTAATTGACTGTACTTCCCATCACTGTTTTCGGTCTAAACTCTCCCTTTGCTTTCCTTGTGTGTCCAGCTGCAGGTATCAGTTGCTTCACAATGACGTTCAGTCCACTGTGTTCGTGATTGAGATGCCTGAGCGAGTGGGTACTCTCCTGGATTACCAGCTTGGTCGTTTATCTTTCTATAACGCCCAAAGTGGTCAGTTGTTAGGCACTTTCTACCAGCGCTTCACCCAGCCATGCCACCCTGCTCTGGCCCTGGAGTTGCCAGGCAGCCTGGAGGTGTGCATGGTGCTGGAGGTGCCTGAGTTTACCAAAGACAGATAGCTCTGCTACATGGCTCACACGCTGTTTACAGTTCATGTTGGACATATATTTGAATGATCTTAAAATTACAATTATTGCATTACTGAGAAAACTGCACATATGACAGGACATAAAATATACTGATATCCACAGTAAAGGCAGAAGACTTAATGGGCCCCAATCTTCTAACAAGGACTCATTGATGGGTTTGTGTGTTTTTAGTGAGATCGAACCTAATTAGTGTAGAGCTTTGTGGTAAAGCGAGTTTTCTCTGACCGAACATAAATTCAATTCACTATATGTTTCTTTTGGTAACAGAAATGAAATTGTAAATATCAAAAACAGAGGCAGTAAAAATGAATGACGACGGTGTGAAATATAACTGGATTGAAATTTTGCTTTGTCAAGGGAGAAGTAAAATGTTGTGGATAATTTTGTAAATTTGACCATAACATATGCTGTTGTGATAGTTTTGTACTGTTTTGTAAACGTCTAGGATTAACCCATTTTTAGTTTTTTCATTTAAACCCTTACTGAGTAAATGATCTGAAGCATATTGAAGTCAAACACACACTCTATCGTTACAGAGAAAAACAACAGTTAAAGCCTTTTTTCAACACAAAGTTTAGACACTGAAATATAGAAATATACTGTAGCACTTTTGAATTGTATTTCATATTGTGAATTTGTGTAAATAACATTTTTAAACAGATGTGATCACTTTTTTTGTTATGTGCGACTCACAGCAAGTGAATATGAATTGTTTTCCTTTCCCTGTCCTGTAAACTGACTTTCTGTCTGAGCTGAATGAACATGTTTATTTTTCTATTTGCACAACTGGACTGGTAGTTTGTTTTGCCTCAGCTCATTTTTCTTTTTTCTTTTCTTTCTAATATACATTCACCACTAGAGGGCCTCAGTACACCATTAGCTGCAATCAAAATCATCCAAAAATGTTTTTATTCTGTCCTCTATAACATGTTCATATATGTACAGATATTTTATTATACTCTCTACAACACTGAGATAAACAGAAATCAAAGATATTTCCAGAAAAGTTTTCTGTTCTTAAAATATCCTAATGCCATGTATTTTTCATTGCTGCTTACACTGAATGCAATGTATAATTGCATGTAATGTACATTATTATCAACCTAAAATTGTGTGTTAACCTAAATGTGGGTAAAAATGTGAGTTGAATGAGTTAAAATTCTCTTACAAATGAAAGAGAAGTCAGGCAGAAATTAATCAAATAGATTTCTGCTACCAATCCTAACAACTTCTGCAAAATCCATCACTCACTTAGACTTCCAGATTGCTTTTTATAACTTAAAGCTACTGTAGATTTGGGAACCAGACACCTTGCTGAGAAAGCTACATGGTTCTCCAAAGGACATGTAATTTCACAATTATTACAATTTTTCCAGGCACCTTTCCCCCTAATCTCGGAACACCTTTTTTCATTTCTGGGGAAACAGCGTGAGGAGGAGGGAGCAGCTGCTGGCTTCCATGTGATCTGTTGGACTGCTCAGCTGCAAGCTCATTGGAAAGTGACAGCCTCATTTTACTGGATTCTCTTCTCTGCCTTCCTGATGACACTGGGCTAGGAAGTTGGAACAAATTTTATTGGAGGTGAACTTGGGATGGATTTGCATCTGTTGGGTGCAGACTAAGGGCTCTTTTAGTACCTCTTCTCAACATAGTTCTTTGACACTATTTGATGTGATCTAACCCTGAGAAACAGAAGAAAAGGATGGCAAAAAAAATCACTGTATTTCAAAAGATACAAACATGTACGATATTTATTTTAGCACAAATTGACAACAGATCCAAATGTGCTATTTATTTCCCTTTACCGCACCCATTAAAAAGCCAGCCAACAGAAGCCTCAGCAGGAGTCTGTGCCTCATGTGACTGATGACTTCGACAATATCTGATATCAAGTATGCATCATATCCTTTCAGCTTCATTACTCTCATTTTTCCATGTCTAAGGCCAACAACAAACAAAGAGCTCTCTGTCCTCCAAACTTCTAAACAACCGATCACACAATCTTCTGTAACTATTAGTGGAAAAACAAGCCACCAATAGCACGCCTTGCTGCAAAGGCTTAAAGGATGGAGGAAATATCTACTATATCATTTATAACACAAAATAGAAAGTACACAGCTTTTATACGATTTAATTTGTGCCCCAGTTGACTGTTTAGTTACATTCAGTGACATCATATTAAGTTATATTTTTCTTGGGAAAAAAGACAGTAGCCATGGCTGGCTTATCATATATGTATTTATATAATATGAAGTCAGTTGTTACCAACCATCCACAGAGAATGAACAACTGTAACAGAAATGTAAAGATAATTTATGACAATGTATCAAAATTATAAAGGACACATTTTGAGAATTGTACAAACACACTAGCAGTCATGAAGGCACACTGCACCCATATGGTCCTCACAAACCTGTTTGTAGTCCAACAACATTTTGTGTTTGGCAATGCACACATACCCCAATGAAGACTTTTGTTTCAAGATATGGTGCTTTAAAGGGAATGTAACCATGACGTGATCTTTTGTGGAAGTTGCAAAAGCCCAGGTATCTCTACAAGTATTACTACTTTTAGACTGAGAAATCATGGAAGCAATAACATGGATAAGACACAGTAATGTATGAGCTGTGACGATATTAGGGAACAATGACAGTAAAATACAGACACTTCAGACAGTAAAAAAATAAAGCAAAAAAAGGCAGCAAATGAGATATTCCCAAATGGGACAGACATGTCAGTTTCAACAAGGTGACTGTTAAATAGGCACAGCATATGGCAACACAGCAGACAAATCAAAATGAAATAAACATTAAAAAAAAATCACAAAAAAAGAAAAATCATGGCAACAACAGATGTGAGTGGATTGTTAATGACACAGAACATCCTGAAGATACAATAATGAAAGACACACTGGTTTCTGAAAACTCACACACACAGACACACGTTAGTCCCACATATTTTGCATGAATAAGTTAATACAGTGTGTAAGGCCCTTCCATTACCTCACTGTATTTAACAAAGATCGTGAACAAGCTGATCAGCCCTATTAGAGGAAACCACAGTAAATTGCATTAATTGTAATCATGAAACTATTTACAGCTATACAAGCTATACAAAGCAGAGGAGGTGGGAGCAAAGCAAAATAAGTGACTGGTTATTCCTGTAGTCCTGAATGCATACATACTACATTACGCTAATTAAAATGTTATTAGAATTTACAGAACATTTTTACAGTAGATATGAGGAAGGACGTGTGCTCAGAAGGGTGCTACAGGATCTCAGATCCTCCGTGATAAACACAAATTCCTAAAATGTAGTAGTAGTGGGTAACATAAGATAATTAAATAAACCTTGCCATAAGGTGCTCTAGCTGGTTTTACCACAGTGACTAATGTGTCAGTAATTTCGATGTCCTCAGAGGCAGATGAGGGCGTTTCCTATGGTGCATCAACTGTAGTGTGATGAAGAATGGAAAAACATAAAATATATTTTTTTTACTGAAGACGAAACGGGGAAACAAGAGGTTAAAAGAAAAACTGACCACTCTGAAGTCAATCAGTGCCACTTCTTTTCCCTGCTGGACTTTCATTTTAGCTTCCCTTTGAACTTTCTGTGTCTTTCATCGAAAACCACTTTATAACATTCCATCCTTAACCACATACATGCGCTCAACCTTTTTAAAAACCTCACACATGCACTTTCCCTTGTCTTTCAGACTAGCATATTTGAAATCTATCATCATTATCTTGTTGTAAAATAGTCTCTTTTATAATTACATGGTCATACTTCCATAAGTTATTTGCCATTCAAGTTATAGTTCAGCTGGATGACAATTTTTTTGATTTCAGGATGAGGTTGAGTCAGATTCAGAACTGCACCTTTCATCTAAAGGCTGTTCCTCCTCCATTCATTAGGCTGGATCAGGGTTGACAGGTCAAGGGTTAGGCAGGGGTAGAGCTCTTGTCACTGGCCAGACTGGGTTTGGGTTCTGGTCTGTGGGGTTTGTGCTGGGGGCTGCTGCGTAGGTTGTCATCCATCTACAGTATAGGATGTCCAGTTTAGTTAGAGCATACACGCACAAGCAGAAAATATTATGACAATGATTCAGAAAGAGACAGTACGTATACTTTGAGTACAGCTGAGACTGTACCTGTCAAATGCAACCATGAACCCATGCAAAGAAGATAAAAGGAAAGCAGAAGCACCTTCTCTATCAAGTTGGACTCTTTATTTACAAGCTGAGTTAGTTTCTGGAGATTGGCATCCATTGTTTCCTGAACAGGTGGGGTAGGACCTGGAGAGAGATGACGTAAGGTGACACCAGAGCAGAAGAAGGAGATAGTAGAGAGTTAGTGGAACAGTGTTCAAAAGAGCACCCAAAAATGAAGCAGATACAAAGAGCAAGCATGCAATGAAACAAAGATGTGAGAAGAATGAAAATGCTGAAGACATTAGTTGTTTAGTTTGATTGTGAATGTAAAAGTCCACCGAATCTTTGTGTGTAGATTTTGTGAGCATTTCAGGTGTGTGCAGCGATCTTACAAGGGTGGTCTGAGCTGAAGTAGACTGCAAGGACGTTGTCACAGAAGCGTGTGACATTATCTAGCTGTTTGAGGTGGCTCTGCAGAGGGCTGCTGGGGAGATTGGCTTTGTAAAGTGGAGCCACAAAGCCAAACACAAAGGCATCCAGACTGGTCGGCCTACAAACACAAACATATGTTCACAAAAATATGTTTAGGCACACATAGAGAGGAGCCATGAGAGGCCTGTGAGATATGAACAGTAGTATCACTTATATATTTTAATACTGTGCTTTATAAATACTTAAATTACAGTACAAATGTTGTCTAAATTAACACTGCAAAGCATTTTATAAGTCAGATTTCTCTCAGGATAATTTCTGAAATACACTTTGGAAGACCCATTTCATCACATCTAATGGGATGAACATCGACTGGACAACTTGACATGTGATCTTCCATACTTCATACTTCATCCTAACTATATATATATATATATAAACAATTTGCCCATTATTTATTGTAATAGTTCCTAGTTATCATGCTATTTTTCAGCAAGCCATAATGAAATGGCTGACTGAACTACCTGCACAAAGACTTAAATAGACAATATTTCCACTGCAGTTTTTCAAGCCTTTTCATCTACTCTGTTTTCCAATAGCTTTGCACATACATATGATTTACATATATGGTCCTTCAAATGAATATGTAAGTCAGCAAACATTAAAGAACTCACGAGTTGCCAAAGAAATAGTCTGCTGTTCCCAGTCTGTAGGAGAGGAGATTCAGGCACTCTTTAGCATCACTGTAGATCTGAGGCAAACAGTGAGAAAGATTCAGTTGTAAAAAAGAGAACTTCGCAGTCACAAAGTACACAGTGCTAAAATACTGACAGAGCTGACACGACATGTGACTCAGACAGATCGATATACCTTTCCCTCCACCTCAGTGATTCTGTGTAGGGGTGCCTCTCCTTTGGTTAGAAGGATGCGGGAAAGGGCGATGTTGGCAAGGCGACTAGGGACGAGAAAGTTGAGAGGGAACGGCGAGCGTGAAGCAAACCATGGCCGTGTCAGATTGGCGTAGTTTTCTGCATCTACCCAGAAAGTGTGCAACTGTGGGACACAAAGCATCACTCTAAATATTAACAGTACTCACAGATTAGTTCTCGTCAGGGAGTAAGCAGAAGAGAGATGGTTTTACCAGAGCTGGTCGTAGTTTCTCTTCAAGCAGAGCGATGTATGCCATGGTGTCTGCTCCTTGTCTGGCTGTCAGCTCATAGTCTGCATTAAACCTCTGAAAAAAAGAAAAATCACCAATATTACAGCAGATCTACTGATTCAGCTGAATGGGTTTTGGGAAAATATTGACCAGGTGATGGACAGTGAACAGCCTTGGTATCTACTCTTACCTGTTTTCGCAGGAAGTTGAGAATCTGTGTAGCTTCTTGAACTGCAGAGTCTCCACAAAGCAACTCTGGGACTGTTGCTGCAGGTTGCACGACAGGAAGAAGATATCACAGTTCGAGACAAAGTTATTTAAGAGTGCTGTTGCATCTGCATTAACATGTTATTAAGGTCTTTTAATGTAAAGTGTATTGTGTAGCTACAATTTACATTTTGGAACCCAGTCAGATGCATAAAAACATAAAAACCCATGCTTTAAATCTGTGTTTGTCAACCTTTTCTGGCATATTCACAAAATGTTAATGACTGTGGCAGTTCATATTAGAATAATTAGTATTAGAGATAGAATTTGTTATGTGATTTTAAGTATTTATACTGTTAGTGTTGTGTAGTAGTGTTTATTAATTATTTTCAGGAGCATGAAGGAAGCTCCAAATGGATTATACATATATATTCTCCAATCTTATAGAATTATATGTACTCTGTATATATTTAACAAATACTACTATATCAGCCATAGACTTCTCAGTTGACCAAATATGGATATAAAGCAATCACCATGGGGTGTGTGGATCGAAATGTTATGAAATTATGGTTAATAGGAAGCTGCAGCCCACCTGTTAGAGTTTTCCATGTCCGGTCTATACGTGACACTGTGACTTTTGCCCCAGAAAACTTGGCGTATGCCTGAAAGAAAATCCACACTTGAATTTAGAAGAAGGAAGAAGATGGTAAAATGAGACAATGCATTTATTATTTATTAAGAGTCTGTCAAAGATACAACTTTCCGGGGAATACTTCCTGAGCTGAATACAGTCCAATTGCAAGACTGTAATACCTCAATCAAGGCTAAGTTTAGTATGACATCAAACTTGTAATGAAGCTGAATGCTTGTTGCAATCAAAGTACCCCCAGTAGGAATTTGGCACCGACGCTTAATACAGATTTGGCACTAGGGACCTCTCTGATTACACTGCTGACCATAAACAGCTTCATTTACATTAAGAGGAAAAACAAGCAAAACCACAAGCCAGTAAAATAAAAAAAATGCAGCAAAATGAAGACAAATAGATAATACAGTAACTAAATTGAGTTGGGTGGTAACTAACAAGTATTTTCCTTATGAAAATTTTTATTTTGTCAGATTTATATTTTATGGTGACTTCTTCAAATGTCTTATTTTGCCCGACTAACAGTCCAACAACCAAAGATGTTCAGTTTACAATATTATAAAACAGTAAAAGCAGCAAAAGTTCACCCTGCACAAGCTACAATCATTTAATATTTGGCATAAAAATAATTCTCAATTAAATGTTTAAGCTCTAAAATTGATTTTACCTGCTTCCTGATTCTTTTTAATCATTCATATGATTTCATTCTCAAATGTATTGTCACAAACAACAATGGAAATAAGTCCAGTACTATCCCTGACAAAGTTTGACATGATAACTATATTAAATGCTGTAAAATAAACCCACACAGACCAAAACAAAAGGCATAAGCAGCACTAAATAAAAGCTTTAAAAAAAGGTGTCATCTTTGACAGAAGACTAGTCAAAGTGTCACCTTGTGGTAAGAGTTGTAACTGCATGGATTGACTGAGAGACAACAATATAAACAGCCAGCAAACCTCTACTCAGTGTTCATTTTCTGAGAAGGTTATTACTACCTCAGCTACAGTCGATAGCTACCCAGCGAGAGAGTGAGGAATACACACAAATAAATCAAAATCGGAGCCTCAACAAGCTGACCTTGAAGGACCACATTTATATGAGCCATGACAGTGACTTCTGACAACCAGTCGTGCACGACGGACAGACCATGCAGGTCACGGTTGTTATGTCTCAGCTCACCAAACCTAAAATTAAACTGGAAATGTGATTTTAAACCCTGCACATCGAGCTGAGCATGAGCAGCCAGCTAACAAGCAAACAGCAGTGTGGGTAAGTTAGCACGGAAGCTAACCAGAGATGCACAGAGAAGACGTAAAGAAACCACGGAGGAGACGCCTTTAGTCTTAACTGTAAGGTCTGGAGATAATGAACGTATTTATTAATTTGTTTTACAAGCGGACGATAACGTTACCAGAACTATCAGAGACTCGGTGTGGACAGAAGGCAAACCCCAGTCTCCTCCCCAGCATCTCAGCTCCATGGCAGACGCCATGTTTTCATTCATGGAAGGAGCTGGTGACGTCACACTGTACCTGTCATGTCAGAGCCTGCAGAGGTGAACAGATTCATAAGTAAACACAAATGACCTGCACATTTGTATTGACATGAGAGAATAATAATTTGTCATGAATGTGAATATGAATAGTGTGATACATTAAAGGTGTTTTGAATAGGAGTAATCCACTTTCTGGCTTATGTCATTCAACTATAATAGTTTTGTTCCCTGTAAAACCTCATTAGCTGTTTGTCAGTTTGTTTTGATGAGGCTTTGCTTCGCTTTAAGTGTTCATAAAATTGGTAAGTAATGGTGAGGTAATCGTGACGGAATTAAGCCGTCCCAGCAACAACTCAGCATGATGCACCTTTATGAGAGAGGGCAACAGAAATAGCACACATAACGAGAGAGAATTTAATAACATATAACAACATGGACGAGAGCGTATAACAATGTCAATAAGAAATCCTTAAAACATTCAGAAAAAAACTGAACATCTACAAATCCATGACGCACTATCTGCCGAAGAATATTATTCAGGAAGAATGTATTTAGAAAATTGCCAGTGTGCAGATATGCAGAATAACAATTGATCCTTACATACTGGTTCATCAATATAGTCAATATTATTTATGTTTCCCAAAATCACAAATTTACTGTATCTGTAAAACATGCAAAACCCTCGTCCTTAGACCTTCCATTGAATAAGGAAAATAATAAATAATATAATAAACCCTACATTTGTTCCTGATTTGTCCGTTGCTTGCTCATTACCTCCTTCCTTACTAGAAATATATGTACCTACTGTTAAACCTTCCCTGGTAAATCATATTTTTATTGCAAGACTTGAACTCTATTATTCTTTCATGTTCTACATGATACCAGAAATACTATGATTGAATAGTGATATCACTCAGTTGTTTTTTGTCTTTGTTGGCTGGTTCTTAAACAAGAAGGAAATACCAAGAACTGTCTTGAAATGAATAGTGATACAGTACAGTTCTGCGTATATAGAGACTCACATAGCAAGAATAGAGTAAGCGGAGATTTCATACTTTGATTTTCTTGTCAAATAGTAATTTCCATTTGACTTATTTACAGCAACAATAGCATGATATCTGTCCCAGGGCTGATAATCACTGTTGAAGGCTGCCAGGTGTTTGGTCAGAGACCAGACAGCCAGACACAGACGGATACACAGTGATAATGCACTGAGGGATGGTAAATGTCTCTCTTTGGCTCGGACCAGCAGCTGAGATGTTGAAATGTACTTGAGGTTTTGAAGCTTTGAGACGACTACCAGACATCTATCATGAAATGTTTCCAGGGTCCCAAGTATGGCCCTCTTTGTCCTTTTTTCCCACATTCCACAACAGATGGAATTAAGAAAAGATTTGCAGAGGCATGTAGAAAAAGGTGAATTAAATTAAATTAAAATTAAAAACATCTGGCGTACATTTATACAATTCAACTGGCTTACTGGAGATGAGCTAGGAGCTCAAATCCACATAAATGACACAGGTTCATGATGTTCGTGAAAAACGATGGCCAGCTGGAATCAAGTTTTCCTCCCTTAAGACCACAATCCATTTCAGGAATTTTATAGAGTTGGCTCACTGTATAAGAGTATTTTTATGGTATTATATCATAAATCCCCAAAAGACCAAAGACACAAAAACCCAGGGAATAACAGATTTATCTTTATCTTAAGTATTGCAGCACTATGCCCATCCTTTTTAGAATAAATAATATAATACCTTTTTTTTATTATTGTTATTTTTTTGTTTACGCTGTTTACGCAAATGATCGAACTATAGTAGCAAGGGGACACTCCCACAAACTTAAAATAGTCCCTTTACTGTGCCACTTTCGCAACAGTAGAGTAAGGACACTCCCCTTTGCTTTAAAAGCTGTGGCCGTGGCAACAAAACCATCTCACCTCTGCTGGGATTTAGCTTGAACATCTGGATCCATCATTCTGTTGGACCACTGTGTTAAAATAGGTGATTAATCTTTGATACTCTTATTGATTCACAAGGAGCACAGCTACTCCTGAGGAGTTACTGAAGCACTGATGATGGGTGTGTGGGCAGGAGCAGCGGCTCTGACTCTGGTGCTGCAACAGCTGGTGCTCACTGTCACAGCTCAAGGCATTGGTAAGTACTCTTCACCATTCATGCCCTTCTGGAAAACATTACACATGTGTTTGTAGCTCAGCACAGATTAAAAACCTCTTAACATCACTATCAAATAAGTCTGTTTCGCTAACTGTCTCTTCCATTTATGTATTCCTGACAATCTGTTGCCTGGTCTGAAAACTTCTAACCTACAGCAAGCTGCAAATAATAGGGTAATTCTGTTGATTAAGTAGACATGAAGCTGGCTTTTTTGCAGTTTGCAGAATTCGTCTGGGGTCTAGTAACAGTCTGGCCTAAATAAGGTCAGTCTTAGATGGTAAAACAACACGAACTGCCATCTGAGAAAGTGCATGTGCAAAGTTTGATTTGCTTGGAATCTCCAGGCAAATGTTTCCATACAATTTCCCGTCACTTTGGATTATTCTTGAATTCAGCTAATGAGTTGTGTGTCTTTGTGTATATGTGTGAATGTGTCCGTGCATGTGGGTGTGAGGTAACGGGTTTGTTCCAGTGGAAAGAGTCTACCGCTGCTCTTTTTCTGCAACTCCAGTCCACCACTCTATAAAACACAGCAGGATACAAACATGAACATGTACTTACACACACACATGCACACAGATGCATTGTCACACATAATAAAGTACCATAGTTCACTGACTCAGCAGTAGCAATTCATAGTAAACTCTCCTCTAATCTTGACAAAAACAAGTTGGACTGCTTTAAGTTCGTGTGCTGAATATGTCCTAAGCTCCTTGTACACTTCGACCGACCACTGTACTGTATGTTTCGCTTACTATTTGTGTAAATCTATACCATTTTTGCAACAGTTACAATGCATCTACAGCAGTAAAATTAAGCTTTTTAACATTAATTTTCTGTGTTAGTGTTCGACCTGCTGGATTCTCCAGACTGCCTGCCAGACTTGCTCCAAGGAAGCCTGAAGAACAAAGGGCGAGATGAAGCTTTCCTCCTCTCTTCCTTCAGGCTTCACACCAAGGGCCCCACCTCTCTCTTCAGTGTCATCAACCCCAAAGACAATACCAAGTACCTGGAGCTGAGCTTGCTGGCCAAACTGAGCAAGGGTGAATTATTATACTGACAGATATAACAGTGTCTTTGAAAACTATTTAAACAGACTACAATAAGAACTCATTCCCGCTTCTCTCTATCTCTAGTCACCATTCGTTACCAGAAGACTGACGGCAGATTTGCCACAACCAGTTTCAACCACGGCTCCCTGGCAGATGGTCAAGATCACCACGTGATGCTACATGCCAGCGGCCTACAGCGTGGTCCACCTCGCCTCAACATCTATATAGACTGTAGACTGGCACACACTGTAGATGATCTACCGGCTGCATTTGGGTCACTCCCACCTGGTCCCAACAAAGTGGCACTTAGGACCTTGACGTCGAGTGGACAGGTGAGCAAGAGGTTTACATTTGAGAATAATTATATGTTTGACTCCAGAAATATGGTGCATAGAGACATAAATAGAACATATGAATACTGTTTGAGCAGTGCAGTACCTCGCATTATATTCTAGTAATCAAAAATGTCTCTGTCCTCTATTCCTTTGTAAGGATGAACTGACAGACTTGAAGCTGGTGATAGACGACACCATAGACAATGTGGCCACTCTGCAGGACTGTAGCAGGGATCATGGTGAATCTCTGCAGCTGCTGGGTGAGAACAGATTGGAACTGACTGTCTCTGACTGACTCTACAATGACAAACCCTTGCAGTCCTTTTAACTTAAACATGGTAGATGTGTTTTGTATCTGATTTTCTAATTCTGATTTGTAAAATCCCCTCAGGTATCCAGGGAGGCAGGACCATACATGACCAGGCCACCATAACAGAACTGAAGAGCATGTTATCTGAGATGAAGGAGCTGCTCAACAAGCAGGTAAAATGATTTGGAAAATCAATGAAAGAGAACTAAATTATTTCAACCAGAAGCTATACTAAGCAGTCCAATAATTTGATGATGATTTCTTTGCTCCCCTATGGTTGCTTTTTAAAATCAGGTTGTTGGTGAGATGAAATAAAAAGAAAGAAAAGCTTTTTGGAGAACATTGGGTGGCAGAAAGTGTAGAGAGGCCGTTTGGCCTACTTTTAAAAGTTGAAGAATGTGGGCTGATTTACAACCGTTTGGAATTTCCTTTTTCTTTGTGGTAAGATCGGTTTTGCAGTAAAATCAGCAATTTGTTGTGAAAAGTGAGATTCCAGACTGTGAGGACCTGCTGATTTTCTGGAGCTCTCTTGTTTTAAGACTTTATAGAACCTTAGCAACTGACAGCAAAGTAAAAGCCAGCAGCAGCGAGAAGTGGATGATTTCAGATGATCATTTAAAGCGGAGGATTTGTTAGGAGATAAACCATCAAACAGGGAGCCTGAGGCAACAAAATGCTTGTTATATAGTTCAGCATCTCAGACTTGTCAGACACACTGAGAATCGTTCTGGTAAAGAAACAGATCACTGGAGGTTACCATAGCAGACACACATTTAATAACTTTTCAAAACTTCTTATTCTCATTCAAGGGAACTAACAACTAAGAAATCTTCAATAGTTAAAAAGAATAATCCATCTATTGATATAAGCTGTAAAGTGACAATAACTCAAGCAACACAGTTTATTCTAACCAACAGTTCTACACTCCTTGTTTCTGTCTGGTTAAGATTAAGGAGACATCATTTCTGAGGAATACCATTGCAGAGTGTCTTGCTTGTGGTAAGCTGAACAAAAACTATAATCAGACATTTCATTTATGCAGTATTCATTCACTAACATTTATGTTTAATATTTTACAAATGAAATAAAACAAATACAATAAATAAAGTGACATTTCAACAAGGTGCTTTCATATCTGTCTCTGTGTGCTGACAGGTCTCAAAGGCAGTCCAACCAACCCAGGTCCAGCTCCAAGTCCTGGCCAGGTTCTCATGGAGCCTCAGCCTCTGACTCAGTGCCCACCTGG